AAAGCAGCGCCTTTTATCGCGGCGGACGATCGATCCGTTCCCATGTGCATGCGAATGTCACCGCACGAGAGCCTCGCGGTTCCCAGTCGATCGTTCGGACGTCGGGGCCAGTGGGTCGAAATGTTTCGGCGACGCCGTGGAATTACCGGCGTCTAGGTGCGACAGGGACGAAACCGGCATAGGGTGGGTGGCAGGCGAAAGAATAAGAGGGACGGGGAGAGTGATTCGCAGAGGATGGCAAACGGTAACAACAAGTTGCCCGTAATAGGTGGCCGATCGGGCGGCGGTCTCGTGAAGCATGGGTCGAGGAGAGAGCGAGTCCGTTGCATGCCACAAATTGGCTCAAATATTTACGCAATTGGCATGATAACCGCATTACGTGATTATGTACGGTTGTTGCGCGCGATCCCGATGCTCACCCTCTCATCCCATCATCGCCACCACCCTTCTCTCCTCTGTCCCGTTCCTCTCTGTCTCTCCTCGTCCCTCCCGTTCTCTGCGTATTTCCATCTCTGTCGCCCCGTGCCCCGTTCTCCATGACCTCCCGTATAAACGGCAAATCAGGGTTATTAAACGACCGGTCGCGGGACACGCGCATTGTTCCCTTCGCCCATGCAACTTCCGCTTCGACGTTCTTCCGGTTCTTTCCGCCGATCGCCTGCCGATCCGTTGCTCTCTCGATTCTATGCTAGAAATCCGCCTTTCCATTCGCCAAAGTCGAATGATTTACCAACGATTTTTGGCCGATTCAATTTCCCCGTGATGCGTTTAAATCCTTTCGCGGTTCCCATTTTTCTTTTTCCCACCTTTTTTTCCTTTCCTTTTTACGTTTTTCGTTCTACTCCGGAGACTCGATTTACGCATAGATGTGATTTTTACGAGGGAAGAAGGCAGGTGAAGCGTCGCGTTGTTCGTCTTGGATAATTCGCAGCGACGATCGCCGATTTCCAGCAGTCACATTTGCATTTTTCAGCGACTACCAGGTTAATGCGGCGTCGTGAAAAGAACCACGCGTGATTCCCCGTATCTGGGAAACGCGAGTTTATCACTCCGTTTCCAGAGGCGAATAAAGGCAAAAAGGGGCCGCCGCCGCTATAATTACCGGCCATTTGAATTGATTGCAAAACGTGAAAACGAAGTAATCGCGAGCCGTGTGCGGCTCGGGACGATAGAAAAATTATAGACGTGGCGATAGCGATGGAAATAACAAGAGTATTTCGTACGAGATTTTAATATCGATCACTTATTAGTGTCCTTAGCCTGTCCACTTTCTGCCGTGCCGTGATCGTCTTGAAAAAACTAGACCAGGAACACTATAAAGCGATAAACAGTCGTAAATTATAGTACGCATAAAGCAGCCGATACCGTGGACATATCATTTTCTTCGATCACCGATTCCTTCGTCTTTGTCCGCGTGGTGCGTGTCTTCGGGATAAGTGAATTCTCAGACGAGAAGATCCGATTCAAGTTCAAGCATGTGCATTCGTACGTCGAAATTCGAGTAATATCCCAACGTCGTGCAACACGGGAACAGACATCACGTACTTCGTATCTCATCATCCGCGTAACCTTCTCCATGCATCAAATATCTAATCAATCTCCAAGCACTTCTTACCACATAACTCATTTGCATACAACACTGTAACATTCCTCCGGCACCTTTACAACCGTCGACGAGGCACTTGCAATGGAACTAATCCTTCAATTACCCTAATCAATGCATCGGCTCACCTTCTCCGTTGCTCTCCGTGCACACGCGCGCACAACGAAGCTTCATTACCGATATCATCATCGGCATAAAGTCATTCGGTATTCCATACCTCTCCGACACCCTCGCCAGGTTACTCCGGCGTGCAGTTGGCCGAACAGAAGTATCTCGGCGCGCAAAAATGGCAGAATAGAGGGCCCCGGCCGCCATCCTGGTCCCGCAGGCGAAGTTCTGCTTCGTGATTTCGCCTCGGCCACGGAGGTGGCTTCTTCTTCGAAAATACAGTTACTCTGGCCGGCGATCTAGCGCCGATCCGTTACGTAACACTCCGTGGAAACGCTCCGTGTCGACTTCACCTCGTCTCTCCGCCTCCTCCGGCTGACGGGGAACGCGCGTTACGTGCGGTTTCCGTAAATTGCTACGTGCAAACCAGCCTGGGCCTGGTACAGCGGTGCTGGTCGCCGTGTACCCATCGCATCTCCGTCTCTCTTCCCGACACCATCGCTATGGAATACCGGGCAACGGGAGCCGGCTGCTGGCCCAGGCAGCAGCGGTGTTACGGTGTTCACGGAAACGCGGGGTTATTCGGGGAAAAATCGAGTCCGCGGCTAGCTCACGGAAAGGTGAAAACGTCGTACGTGCGAATTATCCGAAGCTGGTACGGGAACGGGGGGCCAAGGGGGGGGAAGGAGAAAGAAAGCCGGTGGCTGCAGGACGAATCCTCGGCTGGATCCATCTCCTCCGCCTCCGCAAACCTCTTCTTCTGTTTCGGTGCTGTTGTTACGGCAGCCGGTTCGCCACGGTAGTCATTACTTGAATTAAATAATACTCGGTATAATTATTTGGAAAGTTTACAGCGAGATGTATGGGTCGCTCGTTCGAGGGAACACACAGCAGGGAGAGCGCGGCTTTTAATTACGCGGCTGCTGCTGCTGCTGCTGCTGCTGCCGCCAAGCAACGCTTCTTCGAGGATTGCGAGTTGCTTGGTCTGGCCCGCGGGGTAATTAACCGATGTTTAGAAAGCTGCACCGGGTCTATCGATGACGAGCGTGTCCTCGGTTGACGCTGGATCCCGTGGAATCCGGAGGAACGGAGAAGAATCGAGTCGTTAGTGGTGCACAGGGGGCTTCTTCTCGCATTGTTCCTCGCCGTCCATGGTGGGAATTCGGATCCGGCGTGCGGCACGGACGAAAGAACGAAAGAGACAGCTCCGCGAGCGCGGCTTGGCTGGTAATGAATTAAAATTACCGGTTACACGGTTGCCTCCGCGTAAACACCGAGCATTGATTTAAACACCGGGATTATTGTAATTACAACAATTTATTGTTTCGGGGTGCAGCCGGCGAGGGCAGGGAGGAGAGGTTCGATCGAGCTGTCGGTGGCGACAGCTATCGGCGGAGCCCGCAAGTCGGTGCGACTCGTCGCGCAGCTGCCGCCATCTTTCAGCGGGTGCAGTAAGCGGGATATTTATGCAAACGATTATTGCACCGTTTTGTTTAAATAAATCACCGCGACGTGCAATTAGAAACGTTTTCATAAATTCTCGCTCGACCTCCGTTTCCAGCATTTTTCGACCCACGAGTTTCGAGGTTAGGCTACCTCGCCCGTGATTCACGATGATAACCGCGTTTTGGAAATTACACTCCGCGCTAATGATTAATGCAACGGCGCGAAAATTGGTCGGAAAGCGGGCATCGGGGTTTTCGGGGAGGAATCGGAGGATTGTATCCTCCGATGCATAGGCTTCGCGTCGTTTCGAGGCTTATCGACGGTAGATGAAGCTTCGCCGGAGGCTCCTACGAAGTGATACCCGAAGTGACTCCTCCTCGAGGTTCCATCCACCCGCGTTCTGACCAACACGTGTTGCAAACGATCACGTGGCTGATCGTGGCTCAGCCCCCTCATTATCATAACCGCTTCTCGAATACTAACTCTAAGTCGATTCTAACGAGAAACGGTGTCCAGGATCGTGACAACCCGAGGGTCAATACGACCCATTCTGTTCACGCGAATCCACTCTGCGCTATGACTATCCCCAATTTGGCTCTGGGTAATGGCACGTCCTATCTGCACCTTGGTCAAAAATTAGGAGGAATTTAAATAGGAGTGATCTCTAGTATTTGCCAATGAAATTGCACCCGCAAATTTATTCTCCCGTTTCGTATATCTTCCGAAGAGACTGTACCTCGCGTAACGTTCTCGATATTATGTGACCCTTCCCCGCGTTCATTTTTACGCACGCCACGCGAGATCGATAATCGACAATTACTCGAGAGTCGGTTGTCATGTACGTACATACGCGTACGCTCACGTTTCCAGCAACGTCTAGGAAAATTATCTCCCATATGACGACTGACAGGCGATGCCAGAAACTGCAATTTCCCGATGATACGATCCTTCCGAGGACTGGCGTCGGGTATCCTATCCGTTTTTCAACCGGCATATGCGTCGTGTTTATGCAACCCTTGCAACCCTCTGTGGAAACGAATATTCGATGAAGCGTCGAATAGATATTTTATTCTATCATTTCACGGAGAAAACGTCGGGAATAAAGTGTATCGTGAATTTTAACGATTCCTCGATCATTATCTGCTCGCGAAGTTGCTAGAAAAATCGGTCGAATTAATTCCTCGATTCTCTGGCGAAGTTTAGAAATTAAAATCGAACGATTAAACGATTTCAAAGCGTCGAAGGAATTTTTAATTTTAGAGCTCGTTGGGTTAAGGTTGAGAAAATCGATACCGTTTCGGTACGAGTCTCGTGTCATTCGATGGCAGATGGAGCAAGCAATGGCGGTCGTTTATTTTTCTCAAGGGTGCGCGATCGATGTCACGTGTAAAACCATCTGTTGCCAAAATTTGGCAACGAGGACTCTTCGATTACACGCTGTCCTTTATTCCCTGTTCCATGACTGGTCTCGGTAATTTTACGATGTCAAAGAATCGACAACGAAACGGGAAAAAAATCGCCCCTTGGGATAAAAAGAAGGAAAATATAATTTTGTAGAAAATATTCGAGAATACATTAAAGAAATTGTTCGGGGATATACAATGTTGCAATATTGCAATATCGTTTGTACAAGGAACATTTTCGGTGTACAAAATTGTGATGCGTATGCATGAGATACAAGATTAATTCATAATGAAGGAGGGAATGATGTTTAAAAAAAAGGGCATGTCTCCTATTTACATATTTATTGTACTCGATATTGTCCCAACACCTTACACCGACAACAACCATTAAGTATATTCATCCATGAACACCGTAGCCACGTCACGTCGCTTCGTTTATGCTAATTCTCCTCCAAAGCCACAGGCTCGTTTCCTGTTCTCTTTTTCCGCTTCCATATATCGTTGTCGATGCTTGAAAAAAAGGATAATTAGTTGGGCTCCTCATTTTTCTCTTTCTGTCTTTAATTATCTCTACAAACATACTCGTCTGACGAGTCTTTGGAATAACCAGCCAGAGTTCGCCATAGTTCTGGTGGTCCCTCTATCGCGAGAGGGAAGTTTTGCCAACTCCATGCATCTGTTAAATAATGAAATATTTATATCGAGTATTTATACATAATTCAATTTCTATATAATTGATATATAATTTGATGTATGTATAAAGCCCAGATTATGGATGAGTATGCGTGTAATTAACTTGTTACCATCGGGCGATGGAAAGTTCACTCGTCTCTTTATTGGCCTCGAAAATGGTTCGTCGATGGAATAAGACTGCCACGATTCGTGCTTTAAAAAAGGTAAATAGAATTGGTACTCGTTGGTGGCAGATGAAATTCGAATTATTCATATAAATCCACCGATACCTGCCCTTCGCCGTCATGGCCGCCGATCTTAGCAATATTCCTCCGAGATTTGAAGATGTCATCGTATCCGTCGCTACGTCCAACACGCGGGATGTTCTTCGCGATTTTCAGGAAAAATGCTGGCACCTCGTCAGCCATCGAGACATTTTCGCAAACGATCAACGCCAGAACGTAGGCCACCAGAGCTGAAAAATTAAAAACGCAAATATCCTCGAAATAATTCACTCGTAATTATCATCACCGTTAATTTCCTTTCGATCCTCACCCCAATTCCTCACCAAGTCTCAATACGAATCTATTAATTCTATCTCGACGCGAAATGTCTCAAATCCACAAGTTAATTCCACACATGAAATAACAAAAATTTCTCTTAAACATAATAATTAAACACCCATCAAATTTTCGCGATAAAGTTAAATTAAAAGATTCGCAAAATGGAGTTAATCGTGGACTCGCGTAATGTGAAATGTGAAAACAGACTCACCGCCGATCAAGAAACGTCGAGCTAGTCCCAGAGATTGGAAATTCGTCATTGTCACGCTTTCGATCTGCAAACGAATGGATCAATATTCGATCAGATCTCGAAGAAGATAATCCGACCGCTGATCACTGCGAGCTTCGTCGGAGAATCTTATCCCGCGACTGTGTCCACTCGCTGGACCATCGTCGTTTCCCGCGAAAACGAATCGTCCGAATCGTGAGATGTCGAAGCGGGCAGGAGGAGCGATTGCACGACACGCGTTCGACGACTGTGCGAAGGAAACTGAGCGATTTTTCCTAGGACTTCTTCCATTATCGCGACGAGTGAACGGAATATTCTCGGATATCGTGGGCGATGGAATAGAGGAGTTTGCACGGCGAAGCCCCATCGCATTTAGATATCCCGGATGTTTGTGATGGCATCTGCGCGATGATCAAGCGTGAGAAATCCGTTCCACGTGTACAACTGTCCCCGCGATTTCAGGCCACCTTATGACGTCGAATTCGTGGATTTAACGTGTGTGTCCTATCGCTTTCTTCGTGTACCGTGTGCATTTCCGATTGCACGTAGGAGTGTGACCGCGTAACCGAGGAAGCCAGATAACGTAAAGGAGAAAATTGAAACGCGTTCTCGCGAAGTTTGCGGTTTCCCATTCGAGATACTTACCCTGTAGTACTCGCGACTCGCACTGAACCAAAAACGACAGGGACCTCTGTATTTATGCAAGGACTAAGGACCAATTACGTATTTCGATCAGGTCGATTCTAACGCGAATCGAAGCGGGCACTTGTTGCACCCCTATCGCGCTGTCGAATGAATTTCAAGTCGGACGATCGAAGTTGAATAACTTTCGTCTACGGGATGCCTGGCTCGGCGCTTATGGTTGGCATAAATTCTGACGAGTTCCTGAATCGGCGAATATAAATTTTAAGTTCGTTTTCGAAACTTTTCATTCATGATTTCGCTGTTTTATTACGAGTTGAGAGAGGCAAAGTGTCGTGTAGAAGGCATTACATGTATCGAGGTAATCGTGTTTTTAATAGTATGTTCTTGCTACTGATATGCATCGACGATATTTTTGACGAATGTACCGTATTTTGAAGTACAGCCAATTTCACGGGTTTATCGATTAGTCAATTATTTCACGGTTTCTGCGAGACTGTTTACGTCCACGCGTTAAAGCCGACGTAACCCTTATTTCGTCAGGTGAATGAAACGTGCTTTCCATATCGAATCGTTCGATCTGCATTTCAGATGTCGAGAAGAGTTTCATTGAACCTCCGCGTGTTATGTAAATTATTTAAAATCGAGCGTTTCCTCGGA